GGCCGGTAGGGGAGCAGCTAGGCGTCGATCAGGCTGGCAGGGGCAATCAGGCAGGCAGGCAGATGAGCAGTTGGTAGCCAGCAGTCCTGGATTGTGAGAGGGATGTTCCAGATTGGAGAGGGTGCAGGCTGGGCTGATGAATACATACACCCTCCCCCCCCCCCCCCGCCCCCGGGCATGAATTTCGTGCACCGGACCTCTAGTGATTGAATAATATTCTATTGTATGTGTATACCACATTTAGTTTATTCAACAGTGGATGGGCCTGTGGGTTGTTTTCAGTTTTGGGCTATTATGAGTGATGCTGCTATGGACACTTGTGTACACGTATTTATGTGGACGTATGTTTTCATCCCCCTGCGGATCTGTTTCTAGGAGTGATATTGCTGGGTCATGTGAGCTTTTAAGGAATTGCTAAACTGTTTTCTGAAATGGCTGAACGGTTTTACATCCCTAGTGGCAATGGACAAGAGCATCTTCACTATTGAGCCCCTATTGTTTGCCAAACACTGTGCTGTTTGCTTGGTGCGTGTTGTGACGTATGAGTTTATAGTCATTATTTCTCCTTTATAGGATAAAATACAGAAGCTCTGAGAGTTTAAGATGTGTATGTATGTGTGTGAGAGAAAGAGAAAGAGAGATATTACTGAGGTTATTGTTTTATGGCCAACCGTGGGACCTTACCTAAGACTGGAATCCTGAGATCCTGCCCCAGGGGATGGTGGACACAGTGTAAGTGCAGGCTGGAGTGCTGATGGAGAGACCTGTAATACAGCAGAGCATTGGGGAAACCTGCCCACCACCACATCATGCAACAGACCAGCCCTGGGCAGGAGTCTATGTCCCATTCCTTTCTGCTGTGTCTGCAGCTGCAACCAGAGCCGAAGCCGAGAGAAGCTAAGAGCCTCACAGTCCACATGGGGCCCAGGAGGATGCCACAGGTCAGAACCAGTGAGAGAGCAGGTGGACTGGGCTGGGTCCCTGGCTGTGGTCACTTGATCCCCATCAGGTGGGAGCGGCTGGACAATCCCTAAGACCACCTGTACAGTCTGCCGTACCCACCCACACCTGCCCCAGATCAGGAACTGGACTAGTATTGATCCATGACTTAGTTTTGCCACTTCTCATTATTCTTCTCATAATTACTGACTTTCGCTTTGATTATTATTGTTGCTGCTATTTTTGCACAACAAGGGCTATAAATAAATACATCCCAAGTTAAAGTGCTCCTTCAGGTCAAGTTAAATAACCTAGGTGTAACCTAGACACCTCCTGCTGACCTTGCAGAGGGAGAAGAGGCTGGTGGTGCCACCCACTCCTGCACACCTAGACAGGTGTGCTTGTCTCACACCTCCTGAATCTGGCCCTGGCCTGGGGTTGACAGGCTCTTTGGAAATGGAAACTGGCATTTTAGCCTTGGGGCCTCTTCAGATGCACCTGTTCCATAGGTCATTAACCCGAAGAGGCTTCCAGATGTTCTCAAGACAAGAACAATAAATTCAGCGTGTTTTTAATAGATTATTTCCACAAGCTCTGGTCATAAAGGCATTTTCTGAGAGGTGGAGAATAACTGGGGCATGGCCACATGTGTGGTTTCTCTTGCTGTATTATATCCGCTTTCATCTCTCTTTAGGGAACTATCCAAATGGTTCCGCTCATTCACCTGCATAAACCTGCAGCTGCCAGGTTGAGCTGGGCAGGTCTGTTAACCACGGTCGGAGACAGTGTATGTGTCTCCAAGGAATACTTACCTCTCCTGTGCCTGCTGTTTGTCTCGTCCAGGAACTTAAGCAAGAGAAATCAAGCACATGGAATGTTGAGGAGAACTGGGAGGAGTGAAGTTGGAGAAATCTGTTCTGGCTGGATGGTGCCTGGGAGTCTTGGGGACATGATAGCTGTGAACAAATCAGCTTTCCCTATGTGTTCACAGGCAGAATTCTGACCAGTGTGGGGAAGACACAATGATAAGGCTGATATCAGCTCTGTTTAGAGACCAGATAAAACAGGCCTCATGTAGTGAGCTGTTTGGGGCTCGATGTGGGTTGGTGCCTCTGGAAGTGTTTGTTCTGGGGCTGGAAACGTCCTGGCCACAGCCTGGAGGCTACATCCTGCAATGAGTGGAGGACTGGAGAGGACCCCGATGACCTGAGAGTTTGGGTTTTGGGGTATTTGGTCATTTCATATTTGTTCAAGGTAGGTCGGGAGAGCTATTTCATATCTGCTGAATTGACACATTTTTAAGAAGTTGGATTTTATCACTTGTACACCTAGGGGATAAATCCTAAGCTAATGTCTGTATGCTCTCTGGGACCATGTGGATAAGGAAGACCATTGCCTTTTCCTTCCCTTCTTCTGTTCATTGGGATGCCCAGGGCTCTCAGGTTTGAGTCAGGTGTTGAGACTCACAGTTGCCCACTACATGAGTCACACAGAACCAGAAAACCTCCATAACGAACACCTTTGGGAATCTACTGATTCCTGGCACAGTCATGCTATTCCACATTTTTCATTTACTGATGGCTGGGCTTTCTTGCTGTGTCCTCATTCTGTCACATGTTTTCACACTGGAGCTGCCGAGAGGGAGCATGGAATCTGAGAGCTGCAGGGGTCTCAGACACTCATCAGTCCTTGTCCCCATTTGACACGTGAGCTCAGTGGCAGGCATTCTCTGAGGCCATTGGCCGACCAGGACAGAGCAGGCCCTGGGAATTATAGAACTATATACCCTGCCCAGGCCAAGCCTCATTTATGTATTTTTTTTTCTGTCAGAGTCTCTAGAAGAGAAGCAGATTCACATTTATCACTCTCACTATGTTTATGCAGATTCATTGGAAGCATTGCCTGTACCTGCTGCTACATGTCTTCACCTCTTCTCTGTCTTTTATTTTTATTATTATTTGGGGGGGGGGGGGGGAGAGAGAGAGAGAGAGAGAGAGAGAGAGAGAGAGAGAGAGAGAGAGAGAGAGAGAGAGAAACATCGATTTATTGTTCCACTATTTATGCATTCATTGGTTGATTCTTGTAGGTGCCTTGACTGGGGATTAAACCTGGAACCTTGGTCTATTGGAGCAATGCACCAACCAACTGAGCTACTCACCTAGGGCCTCTCACCTCTTTTCTCTTGAGCCCACTCTGGCTTTTGTTCTCTGAAATTTTTCCCAGAAAATTCACTGATGCCATGTCTTGGTCTGTGTTTCTCAGTGATTAGAGCATCAGCCCACGCATCAATGGATCATGGGTTCAATTCCTGGTCAATGGCATGCACCTTGGTTGTAGGTTTGTTTTCTGGCCCTGGTTGGGGCGAGTGTGGGAGGAAACCAATTAATATGTCTCTCTCACATGGATGTTTCTCAATGGAAAAAATATTCTCGGGTGATATTTTTCACTTATGCCTCAACCTTACTCAGTCCAAGGGGAATTCTTGGATTCCACCATTTCCAGCATTTCCATCTATATTCCTCTCAGTTTTCTTTTCTTGGCTCTTTTCCTTCTGGTCTCCCTTGTTGGGGTGCCCAGGCCTCAATGTTCAGGCTTCCTTTTCCTCTGTGTATCTTTGTTGCTTAGGTGACTCCTCAAGAACTACGTCTGTAAATTCCTTTAGACACTGGTGAATTCCAATTTATATGTATAAGGCTTTTTACTAGAACACAGTTTAGCTTTGGGTACAGAACATGTATAATTTGCATGCATAAAAAGCCTGCTTGGATTGGCTGAGTTAGAGAGGTGGTCTATTAAGAAAAGAACTGGTGTTGCCTCGGAAGTGGGGGGTAGTCTTATACAGCGAATATAGGCCTAAACCTATGTTTTAACTGTAAAATTAGGGGGTCGTCTTATACGCGGGAAAATATGGTATATACTAGAGGTCCAGTGCACGAAACTCATGCACTGAGGGAGGGGTGTCCCTCAACCCAGCCTATACCCTATTTACTTACAAATAATGGGATCTTGTCAACAGGGACTTTGGGGGAGGACCTGGATATTTGTTTTTTAAATGTTTGGAGCTTCTGAATAGCTCTTTGAGAGTAGGTATTTTATTGTTTCCAGGTTCTAATAATTAGGAATGGTCATGGTGGTGGGTGTGTGTATGGAAGGAAGGTGGTATTGAGGATTTGCAGGGGCTAAAAGAAAGGTATGAAGATTTTCCGACAATGGTTCATTTTTGTTTTTTCTTACTCTTTATTATCTCACTTCTGCTTTCATAATTTACCCTCTATGACATGACCTGGTTTTTGTCACTCTAAATCTGCAGGTCATGTGATATTAAAAAATTATACGCTTTTTTGCAGAATTTGGTGAAGGTTAGTGTTGCCTCTCTCCCTCCTTTCTAAACCCTCTCATTAACTAAGCCCTCCGTTAGGCATAAAATCCTAGAAGGAGGGTTTGGGGCATGAGAAGGGCTGAGTGGAAATTTCCTCTGAAAGCTGCTGGGCCCTGCAGGTGCCGAGAGGATGTGGCCATGGCTGGTCTGCAGTGTCTGGCATATTTGACGCCAGCACATTCCTTAGGTCATGGCAGGGGTTTCCTTCCATTCAGCACATTTCCCACCTGGCTCTAGGTCAGCTTTTAACCCGTGTGTGGTTTTATAAATGATGTGGGGCTAAGTGACACAATTAACCTGTGCAGCCGGCATCTTTCATTTGTCTGCTCCAAGCCATCTTGATGATTGCCAAACTCTTTGTTTTATTAGAAACTAGAGGCCCAGCATGTGATTGAAATTGCATGAGGAGGCACCCCGTGGAGGAGCCAGGACCTGTGCCTAACTCACAGCATCCCCTGCCCCCCCCTGCCAGTATCTGAGGTTGCTAGGGCAACTTGGGCAGGCCCCCCTGCCTCTGTCTCCATCTCTGCTCCAGGCCTCACCTGCGCACAACCTCCTCCTGTCTGGTTGTGACCTGTTATGGAGTCCTGGCCTAATTTGCATATTACCTCTTTATACTATATTTTCACCCCCCATTTTCAGGTGCATGCATCAACCAAGATGGGGCCAGGCCGAGGCTCTGTGTTGCTCACCGCTGCACAGGGATGTGTGTGTACCAGTGTTCCTTTGGCCCTCAGAGTGGCCTTTTTGACCTTCTCTGTCACAGAGGCATGAAATCTAAGAGAGCATTTTCTGAAACCACATGCTTGGCAACCTGAAAAAGGACCCAGGTTCTAAGTCCACTTCTGACCATCTTCAGCAGCCTTAGGGACATTCTTTGTCCTTGTTGGGCCTCCTCTTTGTATCTACTAAAGGTGGCTGCGGCTACTATAAGGAGCAAATTAAAAAATCTTACAAGAAAATCTCCAGGAAGTATAACATTAATAATATAAGGCATGTCATTTTGAATAAATCCGCAATTTGAAAATTTATAGACAGTTTGTTCCAAAGGCACTTCAAGCACATAACAATGATTCATGTCTCTGGGAACTGCAAATGCTGCATGAACAGTTTGGTTAATGGGCAAAAGTGTACTTCCAGTATTTTTGGTTCCGGCGGGAGCCCACATCCAGAGATCATTAGTCATCGTGTTGTTTTCTAGGACAGAATTCTACAGAGAATGACCATGTGTTATGGACTAAATGTTTGTGTTCCCCCCTCAAATTCATGTGTTGCAGCCCTACTCAACATTGTGATAGTATTAGAAGGTGGGAGCCTTTGGGAGGTGATTAAGTTTGGATGAGGTCACCAGGATGGGGCCCATGATGGGATTAGTGCCCTTATAAGAGGAGGAAGAGACACCAAAACTTGCTCTCTCTCCACCATGTGAGGATACAGTTAGAAGGCAGCTGTCTAGAACTCAGGAGGAGGGCCCTCACCAAGAATCAAATCTGCTAGCCCTTTGTTTTTGGACTTACCAGCCTCCAGAACTTTGAGAAATAGAAGTTTGTTGTTTAAACCACTGTATCTGTGGTATTTTGTTATTGAAGCCTGAACAGACTAAGAAATCATGGAAAAATTTAAAACATGATGCTATAAAGATGGTTGAAAGAGCAGATATGTCTAGCTTGGAAATAAGATATGAGAACAGGTTATGATAATATCTTTTAAATTTTTTTAAATTACACGAAAATGTAATTATATGCACGATAGATATAGACAAGAGCAGTAAGATAACTGTGTAAAAGACACTGGGCAATGCATTTTTGAAATTTTATCTATGTGAGCTAAACAGGAATGCCCGGCTCTGCAAGGTGGTGAGGAGGAATACAGCACAAGCTGGGTGGCCCTCTCGCTGGAATTCCTGCCTTGGATCCCAGAGGCCCAGCCAGCTGACTTCTTCTTTCTTCCAGCCCAGGATCCTAACCTGGACTCCAGGTGTAATATTGGTCTTAGGCTTAAGGAACAGTGTACTCCGTTCTCTTTCACCAAGTGGAACTCTGATGGCTTCATTCAGAGTATTAAGACTAACATAACCTTTGGACGTCATGTCTGGAAACACTGAGAATGTCAAAATCATCCTAATGTAGATGGCAACAAATGTCAAGATCACAGTGCTAATATATGAAATGGAGAATCAATAAGGATTCGACCTGAGTTCATGAAGCAATGTTTTATCCATCTTGGATGTCTCTAGGAGATTACTGTTTCAACACAGGAACATGGTAATATATTTGGCCAGCCCCGCTAGCAATACACTTATTCATTGATTTTTCTCTCTCTCATTTATTTACTCATTTTGCTCATTTGGCCATTCATTCATGGTACAACATGTATGAGGTGCTTACTATGTGCCAGAGCACATATAAGACACAAAGATGTCTTTCTATTTGCAGAGGCCTGTGCTCCTGTGAGTGAGCATTCTATGAGCAATGCTGAGGCTGAGATTTCTGCCCAGGAGCAGCATCTGACTTCCTGGGTAGGGTCCTGTTCAGAGGGGTTTGCAGGGTTGGGTGAGTAGAAAGGATGGCTGGCAGCTGCGCTGAGGGGCAGTGACTTGAGAAACATCAGAAGAGAGTGAGGTCTCTAAAGCAGAGGATGCTGCAGAAGGGGGAGGTGGAGGCTGAGGCTGGGCCGGGAGTCAACTAATGAGTAACTTTGCATATTACAGGAAGAGTTTTGAATTTCTCTTCCATAGGCAGCAGGAATGCACTAATGAACTTTAAGCAGGCAGCCATCAGATCTGCATGCAAGAAAGCTCACTGTGAAGATGTTAGCAGTCAACTGCAGTAACTTTAAGAAAAAGATGAGTTGAGCTTGAATCTCAGTGGTGGCAGATATGAATTACTAGTAAGCTAATTGAAATATCTATGTTTAACACAAATGCATATAGTTAATATTTTTAATGTAAATATTGTACATATGCTATATATTATAAGAAAAGTGCTTAGATAGGCTTTGTATCCAGTGGATATTTGTCAGTTCAATTATCACTAACACTGTATCCAAAATGGTGCTCTCCCCTCCCTCTTCCAGCAATATTTATGGGCTCTTTTTCTGTCCCATCGATCTGCCTGTCATTTCCTGTTCCATTACCTCAGTATCTTCATTATTAGAGCTTTTCGCTATGTTTTACTAGCCAGCAGGGTAAGTCCCTTCATGGCCCCTCTTCAAGCATTTCTCAGATGTCCTATTTATCTCCATCATCAGGCTGGCTTCCTCGGAAAGGCAGACCTGGAGGTTGGCCAAGAATAAACCTGGAATTATTGCTCACTATGAAGCTTATGGCTGTGATGTCCCGATTGTCCATACCTGTCATCAACCTCCACATGCTTTAGCATCGTGGGATGTCCCTGGGACTCGGGCCTTCAGGAGGCATCAGGACTTTCTGTAGAGATCAGTTGTCATGTGCTCGTTCACCTGAAGACAGCCAATGGCATGACGGACTCTCCGGTTGTGTGTGTGCGCGCACGTGTGTGTGTGTGTGTGTGTGTGTGTGTGTGTGTGTGTGTGGTTTTCCCCATGTTGGGTTGTGGCTGCTGAGATACTGAGATGAGGGGGAGCTTCTTGAATAGACAAGGTGGCCCCAGGTTGCATTTGGTGCATCTCTCTCTCTCTTCCGAAGTTTGTGCGTTTGTTGTGAATACCATCCTTATTTCTGAAAATGTAATGCCAGCTACACTGTGACCCTGGGAAAACTTATTATATTGTGTGAAGGGAGGTGGGAAGGCAGCTTGGAGTTGATTTAGAACCTTTACTCTTTACTTTTTTCACCACTATGGCGCCTTCAGAGCTTGGGCCCAACCAAAGGCAGATGTGGGCAGCATGATTGACTCTTGCTGAGCAGGTATCAAGCACATGCACCTCCCAGACCCCAGGTCCCAGGCTCCGTGGGACAGAGCTGCTCTGTCATCCACGTGTGATGTTGTACAGAGATTAGGTGTTGACTCGACTGAGCTGAAAAGGAATTTCTAAAATTTTGAAAGTGGAGGTTCTTTTTGTTACTTAAGGTTTGGAAAGTTGCATGATTATTTGAGAAAAAAATTTTTAGAGCCTCACCTACCAGCATATATGTAAAATCACCTCTCTATCACCATGCCACTTTATCAATTGCTTTATATCCTAACCTAATATGGGATAGGGCAATTCCCCATTTTTATTCTTTTACAAAAAAATGTCTACATTTTATTACCTCTGTGTTTGTGTAGGTTAATTTTAGAACCTGTTCTTATGTTTAAAAAAATCCCATTTGGAATTACATTAAACCCATACATAACATTTTGTTATGTTTCGTTTAATGTCATTTTGTTATAAGGTAGATGAAATGTCATAGGAAATTAACTCTTGTTTATTTCAATTAGCCTGTGGTCAAATTGGTTTTGTTATATCCCTTAAAGACACAGAGCCTATCTCTGACTTTAAGTGAGAGCTTAATTTTGTATCATCATAACATTGTTTCTTTTCATTCAAAAACATCTCTCTCACTGCCAATTTATATACCGTATTTTCTGACGTATAAAACGTCCCCCTAATTTTACAGTTAAAACATAGGTTTAGGCCTATATTCACTGTATAAGGCTTTTTACTAGAACACAGTGTAGCTTTGGGTACAGAACATGTATAATTTGCATGCATAAAAAGCCTGCTTGGATTGGCTGAGTTAGAGAGGTGGTCTATTAAGAAAAGAACTGGTGTTGCCTCGGAAGTGGGGGGTAGACTTATACAGCGAATATAGGCCTAAACCTATGTTTTAACTGTAAAATTAGGGGGTCATCTTATACGCCGGAAAATATGGTATATACTAGAGGTCCAGTGCACGAAACTCATGCACTGAGGGAGGGGTGTCCCTCAACCCAGCCTATACCCTCTCCAATCTGGGTCTGCTGGCTCCTAACTACTTGCCTGCCTGCCTGCCTGATAGCCCCTTAACCACTCCCTTTCCAGCCTGATTGACACCTAACTGCTCCCCTGACATCCCAATCACCCCCAACTGCCCTCCCCTGCCATCTTGTGGCAACCATCATGTGATGATGTGGGGGCACCCATCTTGTGACACATGGAGGCGGCCATCTTGTGACATGAGGATGTGAGGGTCAATTTGCATATCACCTCTTTATTATATAGGATTCCACTTAGTAAAATTTTATATTTTCTTTCTATGGTTCAAGTTATGTATATTTTACATTCTGTATTCTGGTTTGTTATGGCTGGGATACAAAACACTATTAGCAGGTGAGCCTCTTCATGCCCCAAGCACCCTGCACTTTTAGTGCCCTGGAAGCACCTGCTTCACTGACGTGGCCATTCCCCGGGCCTCAGGCACCTGTCCCACTGCCAAGTCAGATGGCCTCGGTCAGGCTTGCTTAGACTGTGACGTTCATCAGTGCAGACATTCTTCTTCTTTTTGAGTATAAATATGCTAGAACATGTCCTTTTACTCACTCATATTCTCATACTAGATGTTGTTGTTTTTTTTCTCTCCTGGATTTTTAATTTTCTTTCTCAACCTCATTTTGTAACAAATGTTCCCAAATTCATTCTCCAGATTTTATCTCTTGTCATCCATATACTTGACAGTTTTTAATGTGTCAGGCACTGGGTGACCATATCCCTGCCCATAAGGAGAATACCTAGAAGTCTTCCCACGGGGCTGGGAAGATGTTGTATCTGTCAGGATCCTGCAGGAAACAGATGGCACACTCAGAGGGGTGAGTGAAGAGATTTAGCAAAACATTATAAAAGTTTGGAGCAGAGTTCAGGGAAATCAACAAGGAATGACAAAGAATGGTGAATTTCTCTAGGGCTGGCAACAGAGGAGGAAGGAAGGGAGGGCTGATGGGACCACAGGAGGGAGCAGGTGGCATAACAGGGGCTTAGCTGTGATCCTGGGTTGACCCTGGGGAAGGGCCATCTGATTGAGCTGGAAGAATGCAGCCTCTGCTATACCAGTGCCCAGTCTGGAGGGAGCTGGGGGAATAAACTCCCCGACCTCTCTCTCTTTCTACCCATCAATCTCCTTAAGGTGTTACCTGTTGGTTGAACCCTGCCCAAAGCAAGGGAACCTTGATGTTGTCTATACAGGTCTCTCTCTGCTGGGGCATGCAGCGGGGGAAAAAAGTGGAGTGGGTAAGGAGAGAAACATGAAGAATATCCACTGTAGGTGCTATGGGATGACTGACCTCAATTTACTGTTCTTCATTTTATCCTCAGCTTCTTGTCCAATAACTCCCCTTGGCTCTGCAGCCTTCAGCTAAAACAACTCAGGAGGCAGTGCCTGATGTGGAAGAGGGAATCATGAGTCCTCCCAGGCCTGCTGCCAGGCAGCTACCTCATTCTCTTCCCTCTTTCCCTCTTTGCTTCTTCTTCCCTTTGCCAAATATGACTTTCATGCCTACAAGTTCATTTGGTCTGCAGCGGCTGCCACAGCTTCTGGCCTAAGAGCAAAGGGCGCTTTCAGAAAAGAAGGTTCCCTGGTCCAGGAAGCATCCGAACCTGCTCTGAGTGGCAAGTTTTCCAGTGAAGTGAATTTGAACTCTTATGTATCTTTGCCAAAGGTTTCTTGGACCCGCTAAGTAAACACATTAAAATGCCAGTAAAAATTTTTGCTGCTTTGTTGAACCTTTCTGGCGGATTAAATTGGGGGGAAAATGGGAACACATAGACCACAAAACACATAATTCATAGTTGTCACATCGCACTGTGAGGAGTGATCTTTTTGAGGCTGCTAAGTGGGTGCCTTTCATACTGGAGGAAATAATGACACAGGAAGGTGAAAAGCATCTCACTGGGAACCATCATTCCCTGTGTGTCCTTGGTGGGAAGCACATTTTCCTAGTCCTTATTCCTATGCCATTTATAACAAATCCCCTCTCCGGCCTCCTGGCCTGCATTGGAAAGGCTACTGCTGGGAGCGTACTGGGCAATCTCATTTTAGCTCTGAGGGGACTTTTAATGACTTGGATTGGAAGTTGTCTCTTTAGACTGGACAAAAGAAATGCTATTATAATATCAAGGGAAGAAAAGGATGTGCCAAAAACCACATGGATGAAATAAGAAGAAGAATCAGATGTTTTCCACTGGAACTGCTGAGTTAAGTTGAAGGCCAATCTGCCCTGTTCCAATAGTTTCCTTCCTTGGCTCCTGGGCTCCTTGCTGGCAAAAAAAAAAAAAAAAAAAAAAAAAAAAAAACCCACAAAAGGCTGCCCTGTGGCTTGTGAGCAAAGTCAGCAGGTACTGGGGAAGAAAAGAGAAACCCAAGGTGAATGAATAGGAATATATAAAACAAGGAGAAAAACCCACTGTCAGTGGTCTGTTATATCTCCCCCGCCACCCAGTCCCCATTCCCCCTTCGCCATTGGGCGATCTGAGCCTGCCAGCCAGAAAAAGGGGCCGAGAGGTGGTCAGTGCACCTCATAGTGACTGGTTGAGCAGTCGTTCTGGTTGTTCTGCTGTTAGAGTCAATTAGCATATTATCCTTTTATTATATAGGATAGTTTACAGATTGTTAGAATCACATATATGTCAGATAATCTTACCTAATAATAGACAAACATGTAAATGACCGTACCTCTGCTATGCCCACAGCCAATCAGAGTGAGTATGCAAATTAGAAGGCCAAAGATGGCAGATGCCCAGCTACTCCAGGCGCAGAGTGGCCTGGTGGGCCAGCACGCCTGCTATGAGAGGGAGGCTGAGGGTAAAGGAATCGATAGAAGAAGAGTGCTGCAGTGAAGACAAGACTACAGACTTCCGCATCTGCAGCAAAGACAAAATGGCCTGAGTCTGCAGCAAAGACAAAGAAGGCAGACTCTGGCCGAAGCAAAGGCCTGTGTCCCAGATGCCAGAGGAAAACCAGTGCTGGAAGCCAAAGGAAGAAAGGCCTATTGCACAAATCTCTTCATGCAGTGGGCCTCTAGTAATTATATAATTTTCCTGAACTTACAATCATTTATTTACCATTCATCATATGTTTTAATGCTGGGTTCTTCTTTCCTACAGAATTTCCTGGATATAGTGTGTGTGTATGTGTGTGTGTGTGTGTGTGTGTGTGTGTGTTTGAAGGTTGGAAAGAACATCTCATTCTGTCTCCATTACTTCTGGACAATCAAATAATTCATCCTCCTGAACCTCCATTTCTTCATTTCTAAATTCATCATGGTCATATCTATCCTGCATGTCTAATAGAAAAATGGATATAAACGCATTGAAAACAATGAAAGCCTAAACAATCCCCATCACTGGGTGGAGAGAGAGGGGTCAAATGGATTTATGAAGATAAGCAGGAAGCTTAACCATTTGATCCACATTGAGACGTTTCTGTACTGTAATTCTTTAAGTCTCAGTTCCTTGAAGTCTTGAGCTTCCAATGAGAGTTTGATGACAGAACATGCCTATAGAGCAGAGAAGAAATAAGCTTTGAGGTATGTGATTCCTACCCTAGATTTGGTCCAAGTGTGCATGAGGAGCATGGTCAGAGAACACTTCCTGAGGGATGTCTGTCCTTCTCTTTCTTGCTGCTCAGCATTCCCCCCACCCTTTATCATGGCTACCGCCCCCCACCCCCACATGCTGATGGCACCAAGTCCAAATTTCTGTCATCTGAACTTCCATTCTCCTGTGTTCCACTGAGCATCTGATCCTATGTGAATGTTCCATGGTTGCCCCATATTAAAAACACAGAGAATGCAACTCCTCAAACTTATTTCTGAAAGTTTTTAAGGTTCATCCATGTTGTAGCATATATCACTCTTTTATTCTTTGTATTGCCAAATAATATCACATTGTATGGAGTTTTTGTGTAGGCATATATTTTCATTTCTTTTAGACATATACCTAGTAATGGACTTGCTGGATCATATGGTAAGTATGTTTAGCATTTTGAAGAACTGCCAAACTATTTTCCAAAGTACCTGCACCATTCTACATCCCCCTAGTAATGTCGTTTTAAAAACCCAACTCAGATATTTATACTCGACATGGGAAGAGTTCTTGTAGGTTTTTTGACTATGGTGAAGGTGATGTTATTGAAATTGCACATTAATGTGGAACAAGAAATTAAAGACCAGGAAGCTGGTAGAAGGTGCTGCAGTAATCAAATTCTCAGTTCCTGATGTCTGTATTGGGATGGTGTCAGGCAGGAAAAATATCAGGGTTCCCAAAGAACATAGTGGACAGCGGAGATGATTCTCAGGCAGAAAAATAATTTTCACCTAAGTTCAACTCTGAGATATTCGCTCAACCTTTGCTTTCTAATCTTGGTATTTCAGAAAATAAATACTTGTTTGTAGAGAAGCAGGAAAGGGATGAATACAAGTCTTGCCATTATGTGATAGAGGACCATGTGACTGACGCAGATCTGTGAGTCTGTGATTTACATGGAATTCCTTAGAGGTTGCATCCTCCTAGGCTAAGTGGGCTGCCCACTGTGAAGGCTGAGGTAACCATCTACAACCCTAGTCCATGTTTTTCCTACCAGTGGCAGCAGTGAGACTTTTGTGGATATAGTTCTGTGTGTGTGTGTGTGTGTGTGTGTGTGTGTGTGTGTGTGTGTGTGTGTGTGTACTGAGTAGCTTGGGCATTTGAAATAGCCAAAGGGAATGAGAGTTCTTAGCAGCAAGTTTTCTAGCTGAGTAGTAAAACCTCCCATAGCTCTAGGACTTAAAAATTGCCCATGAAGCTGTTCATCGTGTAATGGGACAATAGTTGTAAAGCCACCATCCGGGAACTTGCAGTTGCTCAGTGAGGCTTGTTACTGGGGCCTCCTACTCTACTTGGCACAGTTATCACCCTTATGGTTTTTTTCCGCTGTAATTTATTCTCAAGCATTTTGTATTTCCTTTGCCATTTAGATGAAATTTAAATAGAACCTTTAGGTAAAGAACCATGTCAGGCTGTTACACACATTAAACTCACAATAAAAGCAATCTGTATATCGCTCTTTGTTCAAATGAAGTAAAAACACCTGCATTTTTGCAGGTTTCTGTTACCAGCTCTTCTTATCTAGTGTTACATGGGGTGTCTATGGGCCTTCCTAGCCTTGTTGTAATCGTCCCCTGTAGAAGGAAAATAGGCATGAATAATAGCCCCCATTCTGTCCCATTTCCTGTGTCCCCCTTGGTTACTGCTCTAGGCAGTCTCTTTTATAGATGCCAGTTCTCAAAAAGGGAGAGGGTAACAAGACCTAAACCCACAATTACCTTTGCCTTGCCCCTCCTCTCAGTTCTTACTATAGATGTGCTCAGAGCATATTCCCAAGTCTGATCAAATAGAACATAACTCTTTCCATGACAGGTAATGTTAGAATTTCCATTGAAGCTGCACCTGAGCTTGAGTGACTTATCATGATTCAGTGGTTTTCAAATAATTCTTTTTTCCCTCCTTTTTCTAGGCTTATCCAAATCTCTTGGGCTCATCGAAGGTTATGGAGGGCGGGGCAAAGGGGGCCTTCCTGCTACCCTTTCCCCAGCTGAAGAGGAAAAAGCCAAGGGACCCCATGAGAAGTATGGCTACAATTCCTACCTCAGTGAAAAAATCTCACTGGATCGTTCCATTCCGGATTATCGTCCCACCAAGTAAGTTCTGGTTCAGTCATTCAGAGGAGATCCCTTGATCCTATGGGTGGACAAAGACCCCAGCCTGTGGCATTCTCTGATGTCATTTGTAACTAGTGAGAGAGCTTTTATCTCACTCTCCTCCTCAACCAACAAACTGAGTACTGTGAATTGTGAAATATTAGCTAAATAAAACATTTGGTTTGTATAAAAGCAACCCAGAAACATATAGAAATGTCTGCAATACAAAAAGTTTTCAATAAAAATCAGAAATCACCATGATCTCATTACATAGAGACAGCACTGGTAAACTCTGTCTTCAAGTCTATTTTCTCTACAGATTATGAGAATATGATATATTGTTTTACCTCTTTTTTTTTCATTTAACATTATTTCATGAGCATTTTCTGATGTTACTAGCTATGGTCATTATTTCCATTGCTTGGGACTTTGATTTTTCATTATTATAAATAACACTTAGATGGCTAGCTTCCCATTCAAGTCTTTATGTGTATTGATTAGATATTTATTGTCTTAATTCACATTTCTAAAAGTATATTCCTTAGATCACATTGTAGGAATATTTTTTGCAAGCTCTAGACACATATTGTGATGTTACCCTCCAAAAAGTTTATAGCAACCTCTACTCCTTTTAGAATTTTAATTGACCCTTCCAAAATAGGGTGCTGCCATTTAAAAAATGCCTCGCCAAGCTGATAGATGAGAAACAACTGTTTCTATTCTTTTGTCTGAAATTCTTACTATTTAAACAGTTTGTTTGGCATCTTGATTGTCTTATGAAAGTTCTTCTTTTCTATGCCCTCAGATTTAAGAATTATTTGTTTTCTCCTTGTGAAATAGAGAAAAGAAATTGCTCATAGAATCAAGATGCTGGAGGAAAACCTATTTTCTAAGCTGGAGTCCGCCTTGGCCTCTCAAAAAGATTTTTCGTTTCCAGTTAGGTTTGTAGTGTCTCTCTTTTTCTATTCAGAGTGTGGCCTTGTTTTGAGCAGATTATTTCTTATTTCAAAGGGGTTTTGTATAAATCAGTTAAGTATCCTGTTTGCTGAGAAAAATAGATTTGAGATAAAGAAAATTATCTTAAATGGATTTAAAATTGCAGGATTCACCATGGAACCTGTTAACTCTCTCTCCCTGCCTAATAAGCATATATTCATTTGAATAACTAGGAATAATATACATCACCTCTGTTGGAAGCTGTTTTGTATTCCTGGACTTTGGCTCTTAAAAACATCTGGCTGTTTTCATTTTCTGGTACTCTCTGATTAGCCTTCCTTATTTGGACTTTGGCAAATAAACAGAGTCTTGTTTTTTTTTCACTCCTGTAAGAATAAAAATGTCTCCAACGTGAAGCTACTGGAAATGGGTCAGTTGAACAAATATTAGTGAGCACCTATTATGTGCCAGATGTTTTTCTCCACACGAGATAGAGGCAGGACATTGGATAAGACACAGTCCTTGCATACTTACTATTTGTCTAGGGAGGGAGACAGATGTGCAGGCAGATTAATTCAGCAAAATATGGTCTATATGGTGTGTATCAGGCCAGTGATATACATAGCATGCACAGGGAGGATATGGGAAAGATTCCTGCTTAAGATGATGCCTGAGCTTAATTTTGAAGGACTAATAAAGATTGGAAAATTGAAGAATGGAGAGGGATAAGGGAAGACCAGGCAGGGGAACTGCAAGATCAGAGTTTGGGGTGCAAATAAAAATATGGTGTGCTCAGGGAAGAATGTATGGGTCCATAGTGCTCTGTAGTGTAGCATGGTGGCTTGAGCATGCCACTTGTTGCTTATCACTCCTGGAATTTCACTAATAATAAAGGACTAGAGAAAATGGCAACCCCTAAGGGACAACTAATTTTCATTCTTCTTATGGCCAAATAATATTCCTGTGTGTGTGTGAGAGAGATATTATTTTTCACTATCAATGGACACTTAGGTTTTTATCTTGGCTATTATAAATGATGCTGCAATGGGCATGAGGGTGCATCTTTTTGAATTAGTGTTTGGGTTTCTTTCAGTAAATACCCAGAAGTGGAATTTCTGGGTCATATGGTGGTTCTATTTTGCTTTCTGAAGCACATTTATACTGTTTTCCATAGTGCCTGCACCAATTTACATCCCCACCAACAGTGCACAAGGGTTACCTTTTCTCCACATCCTTTTTATTCCTTGTCTTTCCTTTTTATTCCTTGTCTTTTTAAAAATAGCCATTCTAACAGGTGTGAAGTGATATCTCATTATGGTTTTGATTTGCATTTCCCTGATGATTAGTCATAATTGAGCACCTTTTCAGGTACCTCTTGGCCATCTGTACATCTTCTTTGGAAAAATTCAGATCCTCTGTTCATTTTTAAAATATATTTTTAAATATATTTTATTGATTTTTCACAGAGAGGAAGAGAGAAGGATAGAGAGTTAGAAACATCAATGAGAGAGAAACATCGATCAGCTGCCTCTTGCACACCCCCTACTGGGGATGTGCCTGCAACCAAGGTATATGCCCTTGACCGGAATTGAACCTGGGACCTTTTAGTCCGTAGACCGATGCTCTACCACTGAGCCAAACCGGTTTCAGCTCTCTGTTCATTTTTAAATCAGATATTTTGTGTTTGCTATTGAATTGTAGGACTTTTTAAAATATATATTGGAAATTAACATCTTATCAGATATATGGTTTGCTATTAGTCCCCCCCCCCCCCCATTCATTAGATTGCCTTTTTATTTTGTTGATGTTTTTCTTTGCTGTGTAAAAGCCTTTTGGTTTGATATAGGCCCACTTGTTTATTTTTTCTTTAGTTGCATTTGCAGGATATTTTTAACCATTCTTTCTAAAAGTTTGGGGCTGAATTAGTGATAGTCACAGAAAAAAAATTTGTGAAAAAGCAAAGCAATTATTACCTACACAACAAAACAAAATTTTCTCAAGAAAAGAATTGCAATTCTATACACTTTGTGGCTCAGCTGTAAACAATATAGTCATACAAATGTAAATAATGGATAATTATTTAACTACTAATTATGATTTAACTATATTCAAAGCGGAAGGAGACCGAATGGATGTGTGAGTGGGTGGTATAAGAAAACTATTATAAATCTTAATCTTCAGAAAAAAAATCAATTGAAAATATATAAAATTTGAACATCAAGAAATAGTAGCACAATCAGTATTATTAAGAAATGGAGTCCTAGCCTGTTTGGCTAAGTGAGTAGAGCATCGGCCTGTGGAATGAAGGGTCCCAGGTTTGATTCCAGCCAAGGGTACATGCCTGGGTTGTGGGCTTGATCCCCAATGTGGATGGTGCAGAAGGCAGCCAATCAATGATTCCTGCTCATCATTGATTGTTCTATTTCTCTCTCCCTCTCCCTTCCTCTCTGAAATCAATAAAAATACATTGTAAAAAAAAAAGAAAAGATGTGTATGGAGATTAGAAAAGTGTGATGAGACTATGCATGTTTTGTTTTAATAAAACAGAAGTTTAAGCTATACATGTAAAACTGTACCAAAAAATTAAGCACAAGATAGGAAGGGTGAAAGTAGGGTAGAAGAAAGCGTTGGAGATCTAGATTGATTGACATGGCTACATTTGCCATTTTAGATTATGTGGGCAGCTCTGAGGAGGAAGAATTTGAAGGGGAAATTAGAGATAAATTTGAGGGCTTGCCCACAGGCCAGGCATGGTGACCAGGGGCACCATTGTAATTGTAGGCTTCAGAGCAGACATTACCCAATTAATCTTTTTAATTGCAAGTTAATCCTTGCTGTCCACGAGTGGGAAAGGCCTTGCCTGTAGAAGCTGCTTTTTTGATATCTGAGGGCTGGGGATGGGGAGGGAGGCAGCTGTCCGGGCCAGAGCGGCTGCTTTCTTCTTCCTTGGCAGGTCCAGGCCCAGGAGAAATTACACCCCCATGGGCAAGATCCTTCCTGAGAAGTCCCCCCAAATCTCTTCCAATGTTTAGGGTATTTAAATTCTATTGCGAATTTTATGCAAAATCTCATGTTGATTTAAGTCTTATTGTTTTATCATTAGACTACTCCTGAGAGATTTGTTTTACTCTTATTAATATGAGTGAATTTTTAGGCAGTAGTAGGATTAACCATTTGCTTGTCGTAGTCCAGGCAAATGGTTTCCAATATGTTGTTTTTTCCTTTTACTTTAATTTTGTGATTTTTTCTCCCCCCTTCCACTGGACAGATACTTCAAATTGTTTGAATCCCAAACTGTTGATCTTTCCATTTCCCTTTCTTCACTGCTTCAAAGCTGAGGAAGATGCCACCCCTCACAAAACGTATAAATATTATATTCTGCTCTGTGTGGCTGTTCCCTGTCTCTCATATTTCACTCTTCCATCCATCTAGAGTTTATTTTGAAAGTACAGGGTATGTATCTTTTGTTTAAAATGTTTGCCCACGCTGTTTCAAAACCATTTTTGTAAATACCCTTTTCTCTTATTTGGAGGTGCTAAAGATAATACTTTTTTTTGTTTGTTTGTTATATTTCAGTGGGCTTATTTTTTAGGCTCTATGCTATTTCTTTGGTATACATTTCTTTTCAAAAAATATTTGTTTATTGTTTAAAGTATTACAAATAGTAGAACATATGTCTCCTTTTTTCCCTATTGACCTCCCTGTAGCCTCCCCCACCCACTCAGCACATGCCCTCACTCATCTAGTGTCTATGTCCATTGGCTATACTTACATGCATGCATATAAATCATTTGGTTGATCTCTTACTTCTCCCCCTCCCTACAAACCTCCTCTTGCCTTCCTGCTGAAGGGTAACAGTCTGTTCCATTCTTCTTTGTCTCTGTACCTATTTTTGTTCATCAGTTTATAATGGTCATTATATTCCACAAATGAGTGAGATCACGCAATGTTTACCTTTCTCTGACTAGCTTATTTCACTTAGCACTATGCTTTCCAATACCATCCATGCTGTTGCAAGTGGTAAGAATTCCTTCTTTTTTACAGCAGGATAGTACTCCATTGTG